CTTGGCCGTCGTCGGAGCCTCAGGTCAGCTTTCCTCCAAAATTTTCACATATTTTTCACCAGACCGCCCCCCCTTCCTCTGCTTCTTTCTTCTCCATCGCGTATCACTTGAAACTGACATTTCAACCTCCCTCTTCTTGAATTGAAGGAAGATTTGATTTTTAATTAAAAATTTTTTTTTTTGTTGGGTGGTGGTGGGTAGACGGAGCGTGGTGCGTGTGCAGGTCGGATGTGAGCGACGTCCAACTCCAGAAGACGCTGGACTACGCGTGCGGAGCCGGGGCGGACTGCGCAACCATCCAGCAAGGGGGAGCCTGCTTCAACCCGAACACCGTGAGGGCCCACTGCTCCTACGCTGCCAACAGCTACTTCCAGAGGAAAGGCCAGTCTCAGCAAGCCTGCGACTTCTCTGGGACCGCCACCCTCACTAACCAAGACCCAAGTAAAGCTATTTTTTTTGGCTTTTTTTTTCCTTTTTTTTTTCCTTTTTTTTTTCCTTTTGCCCCCACTTGATTAGAAGAGTTGGTTTGTATTTTTTTTCCTAATTTAAAAAAAAAATCATTTATTTGCAGGTAGCGGGAGTGGCTGTGCTTACCCTGCTAGTTCGAGGTAAAACTTGATTTCCTAACAACGAGATCTAAGTTTTTTTTTTATTTTAAATCTCAAAGTGTTATAGACTGTACCAGATCCTTCCCCTTGAATTAAAAAGCATATATACAGAGGTTGCATTTTTAGGAAGAATTAATTGTTTCTGATTATAAGGGTTTTAGTCTTTTTTTTTCTTTTTTTCTTTTTTGCTTCATGTGAAGGGACTAAGCACCTAAAAAGCCTTCAGCATTAATTATTCCCTTTTAGAAGGGTCTTCATCTTGATGGAATGTGATCCTCCTCTACTGGCCCCACCGCCTCTCTTCCCACCTTACCTTTCCTCAATGGAGAATCTGTAGACTTCTTTTTTAGCTACTGTTTTAGAGACATGCGAAATGCAAAAAAGGAAGGGAGGGGGGGAAATCAGAAAAAGGATGAATTTCCTTACACAACCTACATTGTGCGGAAGACATAACAAATTATTTTTATTATCACAAAAGAGATTTCGCCAAATTTTCAAATTATGTAAAGATAACTGAAGAAACTATCAGGAGATGATGCAGGGAAACTCAGCCGTTGGAATGGCTCTGTTTTGGGTTCAGGGGATGTATGGCAGTTGAGGCGTTGAAGAAGAAGGCTTGATGGGTTTTGGGTTGCGGGTATAAACCCGTCATCAAATGGGCTGGTGACTGGTGAGGTTTTAGATAGGGTAGTATTAAGGGTAAGGGGTATAACGGGAAACCTATAAATCTTCGTTTAAGTTAAACAGGATTTCACCCCTTCAACTGACCAGAGGAATGAATTGGTAACAAAATTGGTGACTTGAGCGACTTTTTGGCAAATACTAAGATTTAAGCGACTTTTTGGCAATTAAAGATAATTTAAGGGTCTGAGATGCAATTACCCCTTTCTAGTAATATCTCAAGTAAAGTTCATAGCAGTTTTGTGGCGCTATCTGAAAATTCATGGTAGTTTGGTAAAATACAAACAAAAGATCAGGATGTTTATAATCCACGGGTAGTTCTCCCAAAGTTTGTATTATTTTACAGTTGATTTAAAATGTACGATAATTTTTCTAATAAAAATAGTTCATGATGCATTTGTAGAAAACTGCCGGCGGTTCATGAGAAATTGTGAAATTCACTGCAATAGTAGATGACTCCCCTCTACTTATTCATGACATCTACACCCTTACCTGCAAATTATCTTTCGCAAATTACAATTCGGAGGAGATTAGTGCTAATAAAAGAGTTGGAGGGGGTTGCTCCTTACTGCTACTATTGAAAGTATAGATAAAGGGGTTATGTAAAATTCGACTATTGAAAGTATAGATAAAGGGGTTATGAAAAATTTAACCTTTATATCATTTTACAGCCATTTTAATCACTGTATGCACATACTCTTCTTGCAGTGCTGCAGGCTCCAGCGGCAGCGGCAGCAGCACGAACACACCGGCAACGGGCACAGGCAGCAGCACGAACACACCGGCAACGGGCACAGGCAGCAGCACAGGGTCATCCAGTACTACAACTGTACCAGGCTCAACCACGCCGAGCACCATGACTCCAACCACTACTGGCACCGGCAGCAACGGACTTGGAGGCGGAGGAGTCCTTGGTGGGCTAGGCCCATCTGGCAACACCATCAGCACTGACGCGAGCCATGCTGGGCCTTCTGAGATGGGCCTAATGGGCCCTCTCCTTGTCCTCATGCTGTCAATATTCATGGTTTGACGGTGGTGTGAAGAGTTGAGAGGGGTTTTACTGCTTGGTCTTGTATTGCATGTGGAGGTTTAGATTAGGTTGAGGACTGTGATTTTTGGGGTGTCATATATTTTGGCCAGTTAACTTGTGGGGTTGTAGTCTAATGTGGGAGTACTACATACTGATGGTCTGTAGCTGCTGATGAGATTATGCGTTGCTGATATTGTAATTTTATGTTCATCAAATCGTCGGAACTTGTCTCAGTTTGATGCCACGAATTAAACTGGTTAGCATAAACGGTAATTAAGGGTGCGAGGTGCTGTCATATGATTAGGGGGTGTTTGGTTCAATAGTGGACAAGAATAAGATTAGAAATCTGACTTTTTCTATGGATCCCTATCAAATCCATAAAAAATTTTAAGACAAGTTTATGGATTCATGGGATTCTTTTCTTTTCTTTTCTATGTTTGTTTCATAACATGAAAAAAATAGAATCCAACTTTATAGAAACCTTTCAATTCCTATTCTTTAGTTTGGTTTGGAATGAAAATAGGATTTGGTCTCATAATAGTATAGGGTTTGTGAAGAAACGAAATTCGAAAAAAAAAGAGGGAGAATAGTACGAGTGTGTCAGTTTTTTGTCCCAAATCCTCCTAAATCATTAGGATTTTGGTTTCTATAAAATCACCATAGTTTTTCAACTTTATAGATTTAGAAATCTATAATTTTTTTTGAACCAAACTCAAGAATATGATTCATAAAGAATATTTTATTTACGATTTTGCCCCTATCAGGTTCAATCCCTATTCCTATTCCGTAAAAAACGTGAAACAAACACCCCCTTACATACTATGTTTACCGTATTCGTATTACCGTATTCGTATTCTTTTACTAATCAAATATGTATTTCGAAAATATTTCTTTATAGTTTATAAATTTTTTTGGCCCCTGGTTTCTGCCTTCATCAGAGTTCTTGTTCCCTAGCTGGGAACTCAGCCTCACATCAGTACGAAAAAAACGAAAACGAAAAAAGGGGCAGGGGTTTCGGGTGTATTTGTGTACCACGGAGGTCACTGTTTGTTTGGTCCCCTTTTTTAAATATTTCCCCCCCTCCTCTTCTCTCACGGTGCGAAACTGGTTTCAAATTTCAATTTAAGCACGAGGACAAGAGTCACGTGCTGCACCTTCATAAAAACTGACAAGTAGACAAAAATGACTGTCTGGAAATGTCCGTACATGTGACAGTCCTTTAGAGCATCTCCAACCATACTCTTCGAGGGGCTGTTTGTTTGAGAGTGTTTTTTTGGAAAACCCGGTTTTTGGAACAAAAAGTAACATTTGTGTGGTTTTAGAAATGTTGTGCGCGGCGGAAGCTTTCTATAGCAACACGAACAATAACTCGAACTAAACCACAAACAATATGCAAACCACAATCACAGCAAGAACACACAATTTACGTGGTTCGGCAAGTTGCCTACGTCCACGGGGCAAGGAGGGGGGAGTTCTTTCTACTAGAAATCAAGAGAATACAAATAGGGTTACAAATCTCTCAGACCAAACCCTAAAACAAAGCTCTAGATCTCTCAAAGCTCTCTCACAATTGGATGCAATGATTCTCTCTCTTTGGCTGCTCAAATTCGTCCCACCTTATCCCTAAACAAACAAGTTTAGGTATATATAGAACTTACAAAACGAACCGGGTCGAAAACCTGAAAAACTGATATCCGCTTCGTCGGTCGACCGGCCCGGTCGACCGCGATCAATTCCGGTCGACCGGCCCGGTCGACCGACCAGCTCTCAGTAGAAAACCCAAACTCCAGAGAACCGTCGGTCGACCGCACCGGTCGACCGATCTCCTTCCAGACGCACAGGAAGCCTTGTGCACGAATGCGGTCGACCGGGCCCGGCCCCCGCCGCCTGGTTTGACTGATTCTTCTGAGTTTCTGTAATTTCTTCAATTCTCCACATCGGCGAATGTTTCCACCAAAAAATGAGCCGACACCAATCATCCAATAGTTCCTCAACAAATTCAGGAACAATACTCGAGCTGAAACGCGATCTCCCCCCAATCTGGCCTCGTACACACCATCGCATACATCAAGCTACCTACTGCACTAGCATATGGGACCTTCGACATATAATCTCTGTCCTCAACTGAAACAGGTGACATCAACGCTGAAAGCTTGAAGTGGGGAGCCAATGGTGTGCTAACTGCTTTTGCATTGCCATCAAAGCTGAATTTCTTCAACATCTTCTGCAAGTAGCTCTTCTGTGTAAGCTTCAATTTCCCCTTCACCCTGTCTCGCTCGATCTCCATACCCAATATCTTCTTTGCCTCTCCAAGATCCTTCATCTCAAACTCGGATGATAACTCCTCTTTCAGCTTTCGAATAGCCGAAGAATTCCTGGAAGCAATAAGCATATCATCAACATATAAAAGCAAATATATGAGCTCACCATCCTGTAGCTTGTGCATATAAACACATGGGTCATATGGGCTCCTTGTGTACCCTCGGCCAATCATAAAGCCGTCGAATCTCTTATACCACTGTCTTGGTGACTGCTTCAAACCATAAAGAGACTTCTTCAGCTTACAAACCAAATTTTCCTTTCCTGCAGCTTTGAAACCCTGTGGTTGTGTCATGTAGATCTCCTCATCTAAATCACCGTGTAGAAAGGCTGTCTTCACATCCATCTGGACCAAATCCAAATCCAACTGTGCCACCAACGCCAATAAAATCCGAATCGACGAATGCTTCACAACGGGTGAAAATACCTCGTTGTAATCAATGCCCTCAAGCTGTGCATATCCCTTGGCAACTAATCTGGCTTTGAACCGAATGTCCCCAATAGAAGATCCCTCCTTCTTCGCATATACCCACTTGCAACCAATAGCTTTCTTACCCTTAGGTAGATGTGCAAGTGTCCAAGTGTCGTTCTTCTGAAGAGACCGCATCTCCTCCTCCATAGCTTCCCTCCACCTGATCGAATCGGGGCTAGACTCTGCCTCCCTGAATGTGGCTGGAACCATATCATCAACGACCTCCACTGATAATGCATATGCGACCATGACATCATTATACCTAGCTGGCCGACGAATCTCTCTCCTCGGTCTATCTGCTGCAATGGTCCTCTGAACATGACCCTGTTCCTGAGTCCCATGATCTACTGTATCCTGTATCTGCCCATCTGTCATCTCATCTCCTCCCAGTGTCACCTCTGTAGGAGCCTCAATGGATACAGTGTTCTCTGGAGTGGGTGGAGTCACATCATCCTCCACCTGCTGCGATATCTCTCCTGTCTGGTCTCCCTCCACCTGCTGAGGGGTTCGAGGCCTCATCATGTACGCCTCGTCAAATGTGACATCTCTGCTAATAACTATCTTCTTGTCCTGTGGATCCCATAACTTGAAGCCTTTGACTCCATCTCTAAATCCCACAAAGACTGCTTTCCTCGCTCTCGGATTTAATTTACCATCACTGACATGATAATAAGCTGGACACCCGAATATCCGAAGCGACTCATAGTCACTAGCCTCCGAACCAAACCAACGCTCCAAAGGAGTCTTCCCGTCTATCGCAGTGCACGGCAACCTGTTCACAAGATGGCTCGCATAAACCAACGCCTCGGCCCAAAAAGATCTAGGCAATCCACTCTGCGTCATCATACACCGCACCTTCTCCAGCAAGGTACGGTTCAATCTCTCAGCCACCCCGTTCTGTTGCGGTGTCTCTCGAACTGTGAAGTGTCTTCTAATGCCGTGATCCCGGCAAAACTGCAGAAACGGATCACTCTTGTACTCTCCACCGTTATCTGAACGTAGAGTCTTCACCTTTCTACCTGTCTGCAGCTCCACTTTCTTTTTCCACTCCACAAAAATATCCAGGACCTGATGTTTATGCTTCATCGGGTATACCCAATTCCTCCTGGAATAATCATCAATGAAAGTGACAAAATAGTTGGCCCCACCAAGAGATGTGTTCTTGGAAGGACCCCAAACATCCGTGTGAATATAATCCAATGTACCTTGGGTGTTATGAACAGCGGTGCCGAACTTCACTCTAGTCTTCTTCCCAAGTACACAATGCTCACACAATTCCATCTTGCAGGTCTTAGCACCTTTCAATAGCCCCTGTTTAGCCAATGACTGTAGGGACTTATCTCCTGTGTGTCCAAGTCTCATGTGCCATAAGGTGGTAGTGTCCTCCTCTGTAGTGATAGAAGCTGCCAGACCCCCTGTAACTGTCTTGCCCTTCAAGTAGTATAGGTAGTTTTCCCTGACACCTCGCATCACCACCATAGAACCCTTCGTGACCTTCACTGTAGCATCCTCTAAGATCACTCGATATCCTGCTGCCTCCAAAGTCCCAAGAGAAATGATGTTCTTCGTCAACTGCGGCACGAACCTCACTTCCTTCAATTCCCTCACTACACCATCATGCATCCTGATCCGGACTGAACCAATACCACCAATAGGGCATACGTGATCATTACCCATAAGCACGACATCCCCTCTTTCCAGCTCCTCAAAGCTAGAAAACCACTCCCTCTTAGGGCAGATGTGATATGTAGCTCCCGAATCCATCATCCACTCCGTGGAATCCGCATAGCAAACCGACGGTAAAGCAGGGCATGAATAGCCTGAAGAATCTGAATCTGAATGCTCACCAATAGCTTTTGCAACATTCACTTCTGAAGCTTGTGCAGCTTTCCCCTTATTCTTTCCGGCTTTTTCTTTCCACTTTGGGCAGTCAATCTTCCAATGTCCTTCTTCTTTACAATACCGACATTGATTTCTACCAACACTCTTATAGGCACTCCTATTCTTTGACTTTGAGCGGTTAAACTGACGACGGTTTGGATCTCGGCCTCGAACTGCTAACGCATCTCCCGATGCCTTCTCGGAGGGTTCACCATCACTCTTCCTCAACTCATAGTTCACCAAAGCTGAGGTTACCTCCTTGTAGCTAACTGTAGTTCTTCCATTGATCATAGTGAGAACGAACGTACCATAATCATCTTCGGGCAACGAACACAGAAGTAGCATCGCCTTGTCTTCATCCTCAACTATAATATCAACATTGGCCATATCTGAAAGTAGCTTAGTGAAATTGTTGACATGCTCCCTGATGGAAACCCCTCTCTTCATCTTGAACTGGTAAAATCTCTTCTTCAAGTGAAGCCGATTCTCAATGCTCTTCGTAAGATATTTCTCATTGAGTGTTTCCCACATCTTCTTCGCCGACGTCTCGTTCATAACATCATAAATAAGATCCGACGTCAAGCATGACCTAATAACACCACAAGCTCTACTGTTCATCTTTCTCCAAACCTTATCCTTCAACTCAGTGGGTTTCTCTTTTAACTCAAGAATCTCCTCCAAATTCTGTGCATCCAAAGCATCCATCACCTGACACCTCCACAATCCAAAATTGATCTTACCATCGAACTTCGGAACATCAATCTTCGTGTTATTGATGCTCAGACTCTGTATCGCCTTTGTTAGAGACGAACCTGACGTGCTTGCATCTCCCATGTTGTCGATCTAGCTCTGATACCAATTGTTGTGCGCGGCGGAAGCTTTCTAGGGCAACACGAACAATAACTCGAACTAAACCACAAACAATATGCAAACCACAATCACAGCAAGAACACACAATTTACGTGGTTCGGCAAGTTGCCTACGTCCACGGGGCAAGGAGGGGGGAGTTCTTCCACTAGAAATCAAGAGAATACAAATAGGGTTACAAATCTCTCAGACCAAACCCTAAAACAAAGCTCTAGATCTCTCAAAGCTCTCTCACAATTGGATGCAATGATTCTCTCTCTTTGGCTGCTCAAATTCGTCCAACCTCTACCCTAAACAAACAGGTTTAGGTATATATAGAACTTACAAAACGAATCGGGTCGAAAACCTGAAAGCCCAGCCCAAAACAGCGTCGGTCGACCGGACCGGTCGACCGCGATCAATTCCGGTCGACCGGCCCGGTCGACCGATCACCATCCAGCAGAAGCCCCAAAAATCCAGAGAGACCGTCGGTCGACCGCACCGGTCGACCGAATCATCTGCGGTCGACCGGGCCGGTCGACCGACCTCCTTCCAGACGCACAGGAAACCTTGTGCACGAATGCGGTCGACCGGACCGGTCGACCGCCACCCTGACAACATG